CGTCTGTAGTTCGTTTATCATCGCTATCGTTTCTTTTGTCTGGATATTGAGGGACTTCGAAGTCTGCAGAAACTGAAGTATTCACAGAACTACGATTGAAGACATATATATATACGTACGGACCTTGTCCATGTAACTTTCTTGCGTAATAGGTTTTTGTATAGTCTAGTATTATGTTACATATAGTCTAGTATAGCATAGTATTATATATATAGTCTAGTATTATGTTATATCGTATACAGGGTGTCCCAAAATTATTGTACAAGCGGGAAATGAGGAGTTCCTGAGGTCATTTGAAGTAACTTTTTCCTTAGCGAAAATGCAGTCCGCGGCTTCGTTTACGAGTTACTAACGAAAAACAGTGACCAATGAGAGACGAGATCAGCTGACGCGAAGCGGCTGAGTCAACGAGCGGTTGAGGTCGCGGGTCATACTCCAAATGACCTCAGAAAATCCTCATTTCTCGCTTGTACAAGAATTTTGGGACACCCTGTATTATATTAGAGAGTATTATTATACAGTATAGTATACTGGAATTTTTATATTCATAAACGGTTCAGATATAACAGTCTTTCGTTTGAAACTTAATGNATTTTACATTCGCGTCTATTTATGACGCGGACGTGAAAGGGAATTTCAAAGATTCGTCTGTAGTTCGTTTATCATCGCTATCGTTTCTTTTGTCTGGATATTGAGGGACTTCGAAGTCTGCAGAAACTGAAGTATTCACAGAACTACGATTGAAGACATATATATATACGTACGGACCTTGTCCATGTAACTTTCTTGCGTAATAGGTTTTTGTATAGTCTAGTATTATGTTACATATAGTCTAGTATAGCATAGTATTATATATATAGTCTAGTATTATGTTATATCGTATACAGGGTGTCCCAAAATTATTGTACAAGCGGGAAATGAGGAGTTCCTGAGGTCATTTGAAGTAACTTTTTCCTTAGCGAAAATGCAGTCCGCGGCTTCGTTTACGAGTTACTAACGAAAAACAGTGACCAATGAGAGACGAGATCAGCTGACGCGAAGCGGCTGAGTCAACGAGCGGTTGAGGTCGCGGGTCATACTCCAAATGACCTCAGAAAATCCTCATTTCTCGCTTGTACAAGAATTTTGGGACACCCTGTATTATATTAGAGAGTATTATTATACAGTATAGTATACTGGAATTTTTATATTCATAAACGGTTCAGATATAACAGTCTTTCGTTTGAAACTTAATGGATTCACATCGTAGTTTAGTGTTAAATCTCGGTAATCACAATGTGAGCAGAATCCTTTCATCATTCTTGTCATCGTCTTTTCATCTCTACGTATTTAAATCGGATGCATTGTAATTACATCGCAGACCTTTATACGTTAAATGACCCATTCCGGATCTGTCATTTCACAGTTACTGAAATTACAAAGGCGTTTTTGTGAAGCAACAAAATCAACGAAAACGTGACTTTTGTTTTTAACAACTTTAACGGCCGGTTGACCAATGGTTTCACGAAGATCAATTACTTGCCAATTTCTTAGCACCTCAATCAGCACTAAAATAAGCAAATTCAATTGTGAATCGACAAGTTATTTCAAGCATGAAACTTTCTTTTTTTATCGAAACAAAAATTCTCGAAGTGCTTTCTGAAACAGCACAGTCACTAAGTAGCCTATTAATAAATCGTGTGCACTAACACGTCCACTACCGCGTGACTCACACGTGAGTCATACAATTAATTGTTTCGATGTAGAAGTTATCTCTCGCGAGGCGAACGCTTTTGACGATATTACGACAGATATTAGATCAAGATCCATTGAGATCCTTATCTATCAATATTTTTTCGTATTTTCGAACCTGCCCTGTCGTGGTCGATATAAATTAATAACTTATGAAATGCAGAAGGATGGTTACGATAAACCTGGACCTTACAATTTTGCTCCAAAAGCAGACCTTTTGCCCCAGATCCAATTGCAACGTTTCTCGCAGCACGACATAAAATATAAACCATGTGCTATTTAAGCCCGGCGAGTTTTCCAGAATGGTCCATCAACGACGCTCCAATTTAATTCTCGGAATGCAAGCGTCCCACAATTTCCCCACCGGAGTACAAAGGTTAAATTAAGTGTCCCGATTTCTCGATATTTTTACAATTGTCATCGGCCGACGCGTCGAACGAGCGCTTTCCCACGTTTTAATCGAACGTAACAACCGCGGAATAGCTTTCCAGAAAAATCGTCCCGGAAGATGTAACGTTGATTTCATTCGATTTGCCGGGAAATTGACCAGCAAGATTTTCCTTCGAATTATAGATTCCCGGGTGAACGACGCGCTGCGGAAAAGCTGGGAAAGCCGGATAAAAAGCGGGACGTAATCAGAACACGACCTACCTCACACCGGCGTTGCCTTTCAAAGGCATTTCCCTTGTGAACGACGATCGATCGATCATCCCCGCCTACCCTCGCCGCCCCTTCGTCTTCCCTTTGCCTTCTGTTTCGGGTCGCGACCCTGGTGTAACCACTTGACAGTTCTGCGTTTGCTAATCGAGTGTGCTACCGGCTTGTCGGACGATTTCGCTCCCAGCTATAGGTGTAACGTTGTTGCGTTTTTCCCTCGACGAGTCCTTTTTATTCACGAACGATTACACAGGTTGTTTCACCGGCGTACAACGGCGACGACCCCTTTTCCATCTTCGACGCAGTTCTCCTTTGACCAGAACACCTGCCCGTTAATAAATTAATCAATCGATGCACGGTCTCGCGTAATCGAGGCGCAACGAAAGTCACGTAACCCGGGAAATCGTAGAACCGATGACCTTTATGCTTCTATTTACAAGGATCGATCGGAACCGCGATTATGCTGCTCGAGAATTTCATTGGCTGCCCCGGTTCTGCCGATAACATCGGTTCCCAACAAATGAATATATTTGAACATTAGCTTCCGTTGTGACGCGCTTGGGGAAGCTGAAATGAACCACTACAATCTTATAGAATCTTTGTGGAAATCTTGATTTAATACTCTTTGAAATCTGCATCGTTTCGACTACGGATTTATGCATTTATGAAAAAAAAAAAAAAAACGTGTAGTTGGAATACGAAACTTCGAACTACGATATTTTCGCATTACCGTCGATTTATTAGTATTATTGAAAGAAAGAGTTCATGTTTATTCGATTTCTATCTCCTGCTATTGATTTAGCTGATTTTTATTCCGCAGAAAGAGCCGCGCGTTCTATTTATACATATTGTGTAGCAAAGGGTCAACGAGGAGCTCGGTCTGATTTTGTCGCAAGGTGGTCTCGACGATTTGTTTTTGTGAAATCTTAAAGCGGTTCTTCGTATTTATTTAATAATGTATTTAATGTTCAGGGAACATATACTAATTTCTCTGTTGAAAAGTCTGGAAGGTCAATCTCGATAGAAAATCTGTCAGTGTAGTCTTTAATATCTCCACAGAAAGGAAACAATCATTTAAAATGCCCTATAAAAATAATTCAATCATTCTGCAACAATCGAAGAAGTGATCAATTTTTGCCAGAATCAAAACTACTGCAATTCTTATACACGACTTAACGTTGTTGACAAACTTAATGAACTTGAAACAAAGCACAATATTCGACTCGTCAAAATAACAAAATTTTGTATCGAATACGAATGATGCAATGATTTTGAAAGCAGTAAAAATTCAGGTTTGAACCAGTTTGACCGGTCCGTTAAATCCAGCGACGATTAGATCACGCGTCAGCGTTTTTTTTTCGTTTAGAACAGCAAGAATGCTCGGCGACCAGCGATCAAATGTCCGTGGACGGAAGTGTACGCATTCTCGAGTGTACATCTTCTGAATCATTCCGGTTTCTTTCCACGTTGTCCCACCTTTTGCTGTCCCTGGTTTCTTCGGTTCGGTTGTTTCGTAATTCATAGTCGCCTCGCCGGCGAATTGGATTAATAGAGCCGCAAGCATGTGATGCGCGGTTGCGGCATCGACATTGTTTACCTCGTTAATTTTCTATGGGTTCTGATCGAACCGGTCTTCGGTGGTGTGGCAGCGGAATTTTCCGACCGCCACTCGTGATCACCGGACAGAGATCATGACTGCACGGCTGCGGGGGAAAAAGGATCTGTCGCTACCATCGTGACTTTTAAGTCGTTAATTAAGCCGTTCGGACGACGTGCTGATCGAACCAGCGAATGAATTCACGAGAAATGCCATAACTGTTCTGATCTTTCCCGCATTGGATTCTTCACTGATTCACAGCAAATATTATTCTCTACGATTCTATATTATTTTTAATATAATATAGATTGCCTAATAGCTAGACTGCGCATTTTTATGCCAAATGAACAGTTTCTTCATTGTTTGCAGGAAGCAGCAATTTTTTTTTATAGAATTATGTTTTCCTTCGAGATAATGTTGCACTTAATAAATCTGAGTCGACCTAATTCGAGTGTACTCAAAAAGGAAAGCAACGATTAAGTAGAAATTTATTTTTTCTCTCAATAGTTTGAATAATTTTAAAATAACTTGATCATATTCTGGCAGTTCTGGTGCTTCTACTGTTTCGTGTTTCACCTACTCCTTTTCCATGAAATCCATTCCATCTGCTAAGAAGTAATATCAGATCTTTCCACAGGAAGTAATTTCTAATGATTTTAAAATAGAAGATGAGAAAGTTCATTGTATTTAAATTTTGCAATGTTCATGATGCCATAATTTCTTATAAAATAATTATTGAGGATCGACTGTTTAGAACCGGCTAGAGTAAATTATAGTAACTTCCAATAAACACCGATTATTATTCAGAATCCATATACAGTCGTATATAAGCCTCACTCTTTTTAATTAAATCACGGGAAATTGAATTGATCGGTCCATCTTTGTAATGACTTGTACACGTGACACAACACGCATGTTAGTCCTGTTTCGAAAATTCAGCCTATTTTTGTCCAATTTGAAACGAAATATCCGAGTGAATAGAACGAAGCATTCAGTAGTCTTTATGTGTTTCCAGCATTCATGATAATAGCGCGGTGAACGGCGTGATCCCTGCCAGTGACTGTAAAATCTGCAAGGACTCGAAGGACGAGCCGAAGGACTCCGAGACCGACGGCGCGTTCCTGCTTTGCGCGCTGAAACCGCGTAAGCGCAAAGACCGCCGTGAGTCCTGTTGTCAAGAGAGGAAGTTGATAAGGTGGGATCGATAAAAAGACAGTCTTGCTTGTTGATTCTACCACGGCTGTATGTCATGCTTGATTTCTCGATTGAAATGTTTTTTTATCAATCACTTTTAGAAGCAGCAGCGAGGAGCGTGTCCTCGACAGTCCTACAGAGACAGCAGACACAATTAGACGCGTGAGCAGTCACGAGGACTTCAACAGCGAGGAACACCTGCACGTGTTGGCGCAGATAGGACAAGAGATGGGACATGGTGTGGTAAGGAGACTGCTGAGACCTTTCTACTGGAAGCATCGCTTCATCACATTATCTACCATCAATTACTTTATAGTCTCATCTATAATTTGCTGCTAGAAAATTCTTAACAATCTTTTCAATGGCTCTAGCAATTTCAATCTTGAGCCAACATTTCACCTCAGTAATGTAATTAGTCATGAAATAGAAATAGAGGGTCGTTCTAAGAAGAGAAAAGGATTCAAGAGAAGGATATCCTTTGTAATGTGCTATACCCATCTCGGGTATAGAATTTTCAGAAAGTGGTTGCAGAAAGAGTTAGAAAATGTTTGCTCTATACTGTAGATTGAACCCTTTATAGGAGTCCTGAGAGAGAAGATTCTAATAAAAATTGAATACTTTGTTGCAGAGATGCGGAGGTCTTCCTCTCCATGAAAGAACGAACGTCTCGCCCATTTCGAAGAAGAGCTCGTCGTTCCCGTCACCGTGCGAGACGACGACTCTGGAAACAGAGAAGTTCGAATGTGACGCGGAGAAATTGAGGAGTAGCGAGCGCTTCAGTAGAAGCATCACTCCGCGAGGGAGGAGGCAGGCTAGAAGAAGAAGAGTGCACAAGATCGTGGACGCAGAGAATTCCAGCAAGGTAGCGACACGTATTTTTGAAACTGTTTCTTCTAATAAGATGGAGAAAACATTGAATACACCTGCTTCTTACAGGAGAATGAGGAAGAAGCGGAGATCATCTACAATGTATCATCGAGTCCCAACAGCCGCAACGGTTCTCCCGGCCAAAGTTTCTTGGAGATGTTGAGTAGCGGGCCGAGCCGGTCACCATCCCCGGCTCGACCGCCAACTGTCGACCATGAAGACCTAAATAATCCCAGCTTGACCAACTGGACCTTTCAACGCGAGGAAAATGTAAATAACTAAAAGATAGATTTCGAAGAAAAGCTCAAGAGATATGCTGATGGTTGTTGAAGCTGACCACTCTGTTCTGTTTACTCTAGACTCAATTACAAATGTTTAAAGTACAAGGAAGCATTGCAACCATCTGTGTATCTCAGGTGTCTTCCAAGCTGGTTGTACCACAAGCCACTCTAGGTTGATGTAGAACTATTTGATGAGAAACGGTACTATCTATCTACGATATCTTTAACTAGGAGACGCCTTATATGTACCATTGATTCGTGTTATCTGATTACTGGTCGCATGTTTGCAGGGAGAAGCCAGTGACGCCCGGGTGGAGGCAATGCTATCGCCTCGGAATTCTTTGTTGTTGCCCAGACGGTTCTACTCGGAAAATGAAACTCAGCCTTGCACACCAACGATCGCCGAACTCGGGCTGAAGCATTTGACCAAGCACATCAACGGGCTGAAGAAGAAGATCAAGAAGTACGAGGACAAGTTCGAGGAGAACTTTGGTTACCGGCCGAGCCACTCAGACAAGATGAGTAACAGGGACATCAAGAGACTGTGCACAGAGCTGAATAAGTTACGGAAGGAGCATAAAATGCTGAAGGAGGATCCAGTGGGTGCTTTACTGGCCAATGCAAACAACCGAACCAAGTCCATCTGCGGCAGTCCGACCAACAACAACAACAGCCAAGAGAAGCCAAGAGCCACGTCGATGGAGGAGATGGTGAAGGATATCGAGAAAAGGCTTAGCGAGAAGAGAGTGAAATACAATAGGCCCGACAACATGGAGGATCTGTCGTACGAGCAGTTGTTGGAGGAGAAGACTGCGGTGCAGAAAGCTTTGCTTCATATCGAGAACACCTTTGGTAGACCCGCCCCCTCGGAAGATCGGACCGTCGTGCGACCTTTATACGACAGATATAGAACCTTGAAGAGGTTGCTTATTAGATCCGGAGTGGTAAGTCTCCGATGACACCCCCTGAGACTTGAAATAGCTGATCGTCTTCCCCTAAACGGTGCTTTCCCGTAGAACAAAAATAAAGACAGCATCACGGAGCTGGCGACTATCCTGGAACATGAAGCAATGGACTTCACATCGTCCAATCTGCCTGGTAACCAGTCGGACACCGAAAGAAGAGCCAGCGAGCCGGACATGTCGCATAGAGGCATTTTGGATTGCATAGAGACAGTGGATCAGCTGCCAACCGACAGCGATAGTCAGCACAGCAGCAGCGAAGGGAGCCGCAGTAATAACGAGAGCCTCCACGCGCTTCCATTGTGAGTACACATTGTATCACAAGATCAAATCGTTTTAGACTTTTGAATAATAATCTCAAAAGAGTTCCGTGACGGTGAATTTGTGTAGGAAAGTCAAATGGTATTTCCCATTAGTGAATATTATTGTTAGGATCTTGATGATAAAATGCTTGATCTGTTTTCAGGGAAGACCTGTTGGTTCAGCAGAAGTTGACAAGAGAGGAAAAGAAACGTCTCCGGCGAGCTCTGAAAGAATTGGAGGCACAATTTGAAGCTCGTGCCGGTCGCAGGATGCAGAGAGAAGATCGAGGCCCGCAAGTCACTACAGTGTATGAGTCATACAAACAGGCTAAAGCGAAACTGAGACTGATCGATGCTTTGATAGCAAAGAATGCTTGACGCAGTATCTAAAAGGTAGCAGTATCTCCAGTAGCCGTGCGTTTATGAAAATACAATGGTTAAATTCCCAGAACTATCATGAAACATTCAGACGGAGCACAGTAGTTGCTACATCGACACATTATGCATTATTGTGCAACAGGGAGTTCAAAGAAGTGAGATGGGGAAGCCGATGAAAAATTAAAAGCTTTGAGCCTGTTAACCGGGTAATTTTCTACGATAGAAACAACTATATGGAAATATGATTTGTTGCAATAAACGTAAGTAGTAGTTCACACTACTGCACTTGTAATGCAATTACAAGCATGAAAGGCGAGAGGAACAAATACGGGAGACAAATGATGTCTTTCCCGGTTAATAGATTAGGATACAAAGAAACAGAATGCTTTCGATAATAAGAGGCCGTGTCTTGGTGCAAGGATGGTACCAATAAACACAATTAATTTGAAGGACTCGTAGATGTTACGCCATTAAAGGATACAAGGCCCGTCAGTCTAGTACTTCGAACTCTAAGCACTGATAGTTAGGAAACGACAGTGGCTGCTGCGACATGCGTGCCGAAACGATTCGCCAATTTGCACATGACTACTTTCTCATAATACTCAACATCGATTTTAACACAGCGAGAGTGCTTGTCTCGTAATGCACTTAACCGAACTCATTACAAATGTCTACCTATTTGTATGAACAATTTTGCATGACAAAGTATATTTCATTGAGCAAAACGATATGTCCATACGCGTAAACAGCGCGAACGACGTGTAACTCCATTGTCAGTTTTGTACCGTACTTTTAATAATGCCAACAAACATTTTGTTATTTTGTAACGAGAAATAATTCCGAAAAAGCTGCTTCCTTCTGTATTTCACAACGATTTCGTGTTTACGCTGTGTTCGAGTTGTAGGCGTACGAATTAGTCGCGCCTTTTACGTTCACGCATTCTTCTATACTCGAATGGTGAGAAACGATTGAAAACATAAATGGACAGATAAAAAAGGACGATGTTTATTGAAAAAGTTACTACGCTGTACGTATGTTTATTATCCTGCGAGCAAACTGACTAAGAACAACCACGAATTCACATTGTGAAAGATGGCTTTTATGTCTGCAGTTGCAAGACGGAAACAGAGGTTCGAAAGTCATTCTTTACGTGTATAAGACAAATAAACATGAGTCTCAAATTTTCATGGAGAACATAAATCCGTTGGATTAAAGTTGTTTGCCTGACGCAATCTTACATGCTGATTATTCTGTTTAATACTCTAAAATAGGAACATGATGATTTATGTCCTCTTTGCTTGCAACTACAGGCATAATCGAGATAAATATAATAAGAACGTTTTCTATTTCTTTTTGTTTTTGTACAGAAATTCTAATGCAATTTGTTGTTTAATAGTATCGCTTAGGTTTTTGGATTATCAACTCCTTTTTGTACTTAGGGATTGCGTGAAAGAACAGATTCTCATTTCATGTAAGGAGATCCGATACATGAGTCAGTTTAAGTTATGTCGATACGTTCATTTTCTTTTTGCGAGAAATTCGCCACCAGATCGAACACTGAGAGCAATGAACGAATTTGTGGGGTTATTTGTAATGTAAGTACCTTGTAAGAGATATCACATGTTGTAATTGTAGAGTACTATAAACTGTTACAGTCTTATAGCGTATTGAACGTATCCATTAAAAAAACTCGTTGATTTATGCGATTTGTAATCGGTTTGGGCGAGCGAAATTTGAAAGTGATCGAATATAGCGAACCCGCTAACCGGCTCTCTAGAATTTTTAAGCGATAGCCTTAAAATTCGACTTTAACGAAGACTCGTACGAGGGTGCTATAGTTTAGTTTGGAAACGCGTCGACTATGAAAAAAGAAGAAATGCTTTGCGAATTCGATTGACGCGGTAACTGTGCAAAAGGGGTGCGCATTATCTTCACTTGTAAAAATAATCAACATAGTTGAACGTCTTATCTGCAATATCTCTATAGATATCATATCCGTCATTACATAAATTTTGCCACGTTCTTGCTGCATATCGTCAGTCAGATTATGTTCTCTGTGACCAACAACAAATTCAGCGACCCCTTTTGTTTCATGCTAATTAATTTCGCACAGTCGCACGAAGAATGCACACTTAACCCTGCAATGGCCTTCTGGGCCTCCTCAGATTCCAAAACAATTTTTTGTACACTGATTTTCACTACTGCCTCGTAAAATAATAGCAAATCTTTTTGATACGATTAACAGTTTTGAAATGATTTTAACTTCCAGTATTAGGTGTATTTTATATTATATTATATTATATTATATTATATTATATTATATTATATTATATTATATTATATTATATTATATTATATTATATTATATTATATTATATTATATTATATTATATTATATTATATTATATTATATTATATTATATTATATTATATTATATTATATTATATTATATTATATTATATTATATTATATTATATTATATTATATTATATTATATTATATTATATTATATTATATTATATTATATTATATTATATTATATTATATTATATTATATTATATTATATTATATTATATTATATTATATTATATTATATTATATTATATTATATTATATTATATTATATTATATTATATTATATTATATTATATTATATTATATTATATTATATTATATTATATTATATTATATTATATTATATTATATTATATTATATTATATTATATTATATTATATTATATTATATTATATTATATTATATTATATTATATTATATTATATTATATTATATTATATTATATTATATTATATTATATTATATTATATTATATTATATTATATTATATTATATTATATTATATTATATTATATTATATTATATTATATTATATTATATTATATTATATTATATTATATTATATTATATTATATTATATTATATTATATTATATTATATTATATTATATTATATTATATTATATTATATTATATTATATTATATTATATTATATTATATTATATTATATTATATTATATTATATTATATTATATTATATTATATTATATTATATTATATTATATTATATTATATTATATTATATTATATTATATTATATTATATTATATTTCCAGTATTAGGTGTATTTTATATTATATTATATTATATTATATTATATTATATTATATTATATTATATTATATTATATTATAATATATTATATTATATTAGGTGTCACCTTGTGTATTTTGTAGTGTTTAGGAGATTTTATACAGAATACAGTGCGCCCCTGCAGGGTTAACTTCTTCGAAGCTATTTGGAACGATTGAAATTTACAGTAAGCCTTCTTCTCTCGATAATAAAAGGGCGCGGAGCGAACGAAAAATGCGAACGATTATTTTCTCTTTTTACTTGTTTGAAACCAAAGCATTTTTTAGTCTGTGATATAAGAGATATACTGTTTGCGTTCACTGTGGGCGTGTATGAGATGAATTTTGTTGTCTTCGTTCCGTGTGAAAACGAGAGAAAACCATTTTCGGCCGTATCCTCTCTTCTTCGTAAAGATAACCAGGATTGTCGATGATCCGCTGAAAAGATAGTTTAAGCGACGCTGCATACTTTTCTATAAGAACGAGTCGGTGTGGTGTGACCAAAACTGCGGAGCACTTTTCGATGTTTATAATCCGGTTGATTCATGTTATATAAATATTTCACCTTGAAAGAGCATCGTGAGATTCTAATAGATGCGCATACTTAAAAAAGAAAGTCGTGTTAAAGATAGAAGCGCAGTGAGTGTCGACGTGTCGACGTTTCCCGACAAAATTTCACTCTCCGCAATTTCCAGTGATCATCACAACGACTCCGTAGTTCTGAATCGAACAGAAAAGATACTTATTTTATATTCACAAAAATGTTTTATTTTGATAGATTTCGTGCGTACGAGCAGTGATCGTTACTGTAGAACGAGGAAAAGTAACGTCTTAGAAATAAGACTACATTTTGTATCCATGCCATTGACCAGGAAATATTGTAGCTTGTAGAAGAGACAAAAAAAAAGAGAGGTGTGTCTTTGCGCGTACAAAACAAAATGAAACTTGCGAAGAGAATGTGCAGTTGCTTGGAAGAAACATTACTGTGAACGCTCGAATTCGATGTTCGTGTTCTGTTGACAATGAGTCGACCAGAATCTGCTGACAAGGATTTTAGTTGATGATTACACTGGGGCGGCAACGTTTCCCACGAATGGTTCAATAAACAATTTTTCACGAGGTACCTAGACGTTAGCGCTGACACTGAAAAGAGTAAAGAGAATACTATGTTAACGGTAAGTTTTCGTTCGATCATGTATTAGACATAGATGCATACAAGCCGAGGGTAAAACTGAAGGAATGAATTATAATTAGCGAAATGTTAATTATCCTTCGAGTTCGTAAACGTGTGATTATGTATATACATATACACGGTATGTATAGATACAAGCAGTTGCATACATAAATACCATAAGACCATACGCATATACAAATCAATATTATACGACATAAGAGGTAGCACGCAGAATCGAATAAAAGAAGAGTATGAACCGCTACAAGCATTTCCCTCATTCTAGAAAGTAATCCTTATTTTTGTTCCATTTCAACAGGGTTTATTTATGCGTAAAGTTTCCCGTAATTCACTCTATGTATAACAAGAAAAACTCGATGTTTTCAACATATATTGAACACGTCTATTAATGAGTTGATCTCACCCCAAAAATTGCACATATTCTTATCAGGATGATAGCCTCAATTGCTTTTGGAATGTTTGAATTTGCCGTAAAAGGCTAGCTAATCGAAGAGACGTAGGCTCCTTGGACGCGACGACGGTACTTTTCCTTCTATGGAGAAGCTTTTGTTGTAGAATCGTTCCATTAGATTTCGTTAACATGAACGGCACAGGTGAATGGGGTGTGTTTAATCCTATTGGAATTTCGCTCGCTATGCAAACGTAACTATTCCTTTCCTGCAGCAACTTCATTTGTTGTTTCAGCGTCATTACCTAGAAACATGTACTATGAATAGTCTGTACTCGCATCACCTGCTACGACGTAAAATTATTCTACCTCCTTATACAAATTGATAACAGTATTTATCTCGTCTTCTTTTATGCTCAACTCTTTCTCCAAAATCGATACTTGTTCGTCCAATTTTTTATCATTATTCTTCTCCGCTGCCGCTTGTAATTTTTCGTATTTGCTAGAATTGAATCACAGATAAGATAACATGTAAAAGTGTTAGCATTCCCGGATTGAATAACGCAACTCACGTATTCATTTCTTCAAATTGATCATGGAGATTGACAAGAACTTCCCGTATTCCTTTCGCATTCTGAGAACAGTTCACTGATTGTGTATCACACATATCCATACCGCATTCATTGTCCTGTAATGTTCTGTTATCAGAAGTTTCAATCGGCGATATTACTTTAATCTTACTTTGTCTGTTGTCGACTGCGGTTGCCCGACATTCGGAACTTCCGTTAGTGTTTTCACATTTTGTTGAGACGAAAATAGTTTCAGTACTTTAGCATTGTCTGTACTTCGCGAAATCTCTGGGGTATTCCATCGATTCAATTGATTCTCCGAACGAGTATCCTGCAAAATTCATCGGCGGTGATTAAATGGTAATTGTACACTTCGTTTTTACACAAACCTTTTTCTTTGGAATACTCTCGGGATCAATTGCATCATCGGCGGCTGCTTCTTTCGCGTTTGTTACATTCACGTCCAAGTTGAAATTTCCAAATGTTCTACCACCATAGCTTAAAGAAACGCTCTCGTTCCCAAATACATTAAAAGGCTCGCTTAGAAACGAGTTCGCCTTGTGCACCAAAGAGTTAATCATTTGAGAATTCATTTGCGACAATTTGATCTGATCATTCGCTTGACCCATCAATGCAGGCACGGTTTTCGTCCCCTTACTCTCTTTATGAATGAGAAATGGCGCAATTCCGTTTACTGTTGGTTGCCTCGTTTTCATTATACTTAAGACCTTTCGAATTAAAGAAATCTATAATAGAAACTTTTTCTCTATATTTCTACATGAACCAACGTACTTGCTGTATATTCAAACCTAAATTGTGACTCGGAGTTACGGAAGTACCCACTACAAACGGTATGTTTCTGATAGTGAATCTACTGAAGTACGAACGATTTACTCTTTTTAGTTTGGATGCCAACGTTGGCATTTCGTAGCTACGAGTAGTAGCCATCGGATTGCAGTACGATGCCTGCAGAATTGACTGCTGGCCTTCATTCAAATTGCATTGCCCCATCGTGTACGCTGGAGCAATTGGACATTCTGATGTACAATTTTGATTATGGGAGCTTACATTTTTTTCTCTGCAATTGAATATAGAAATCACGCTTCGTTATCCTTAGATAACAATATCATCAGAACTTACTCAATCTTTTGTTTAGACGGACTATGTTTCCGAGGACTACGTGGCCGATTATCTTCATCATTGTTACAGTTATATTTATAATTACTATTTTCACATCTCGTTTTCACGTGAACATTTTGCTGTTTACTTGCGCCTGGAGATAATTTATTATTATACGTTGCGTGAGGACCGATTCTCGAGTGTTTACTAGGGCTGACGGAAGTGCTACCAGTCTTCACTGCCGTATTATGGTAAATTTCAACTACTTTCTTTGAAGCCTGAGGATATTTTGGCATATGACGAGAATTAACAACATCTGAAAACACAGAAATAATTAATCCTTATGGCAATTAATTCGCGACAGTATTTGAAAACCGTACTCTTTTGCTTTCTTCTTTTAACATCCTTTCTTCCTACGATATTTGTGTCTCTCGTAGCTATCGTGCTTTTCGAAGTAGAACCACATAACTTTTTTCTTCTTTTCCTAAATTTCAACGAGGCAACATCATCAAACTTAGACACAGAACCCTTCTTGCTCGACAATGCAGAAGAAGCAGTTTTCTCTTTCTTTTCATTCTTTCGATATGCTTTACTCTTACCACCACTTTCATTTCTTACACTACCGGGGATATCTAATTTAATACCATGCTTTGCAGAAGGCAGTTCTTGGTGTATGTAATCATCCTGATTCTCGAGATCTAACAGTTCTGTGGAATATCGTGCTAAATGTGGTTGATATGAATTGTGCCAGTTTTCATTTTGTTCTTCGTACTGTTAATTAAATAATTATAGTCAACATTTTCCTTTAACGTATGATCCCATCAAATACAAAGGTGCTTACAAATTTCTGCCATTTCAAACAAGAAGATTTCTTTATGGCAGAAATTTGTGCATACTGTGACTATAATGTTTATGAAACTTGTATATAGTACCAATATGTCTCTACATATTGGTGACAATGGCGTAGAATGAATACGAGAATCCTGTAGTAATGCGCGATTCCTAAATGGGATATCGTTTGCGTCAACTTCTGATTTTCCTCGAATACTCTTGCTTTCTAATTTCTCTTTATCCTTATATTGCAAATTAATTTTAGGGACAATGTCCTCTAATTTTGGACTCTGGCGTGACTCATAATCTTCTCCATTTCCTGCAATTAAAGTAGCTTCGACTAGGTGTTTATGATAATAAAATAACAAGGCCCGCATTGTCGCAATTACAATTTTTCGACAAAATGGCGGATACGTGTTAGCGGGCCCTAAAGATTATTTCTTTATACCATTGTCATTTATAGATTCTGGTGTAGCATCAGGTAATTTTTGCAATGACCCATTGTAATTTATGTGTCTGGAACTCACAGATTCATCTGTATCAGAAAGTTTTATTTTAGAATCATTGTAACTTTGGTCATCAAATGCATTCTTTGGTTCCAGAATATCTTGTTGCATGTCACGACATGCCAACTTCATGTAATCCATATGACATTTTAGGGATTTACATTTTATAGTTGTACGATATAACCATTCTTCCATATCTTTAACTGGAAGAATTGAATTATGAAAAGGTAGATGATTGAATATTATCGCTAAAACACGCATATTTTGAAGCATGTGCGGACTAAAATTTTATTTTAACAGCAAAGAGGGCTCAATGGAACATTAAAAGGTAGGTAAAGAATATAATTACCGGCCAAGCACTTTTTCAACTTATTATCATCCATCTTTTTTAAATTAAATTTCATTATATTTTCGCATAATAGAATAATAAAAGAGACTGATGATATTTCAGGGATTAAAAAAATGATTAACAGTATAAAAATAAAAGGAACTTATAAAAATATGCGAATACTGGAATTCATAGGTTACCCTTCTATTGTATACCGATTACATTTTTGTAGGCGAATCTTTTGTTTTGCAAATCGTTTATCTTTTGTTAAAAGAGAACCGTTGTCGGTCAGCCTTGACTTTCGAAAGATAAAGTCTATCTAAGAATTATGACTCTCCTCGTAAGAAATATACGTGCGAAAAATGCCATGAAATCTGTCAATTTGTGGATCAAAAACGTATTTTTGTAACACAAAAATATTTACGAACCTCTTCAATATCTATATCATGCAAATAAAATTCATTATTATAACAAATATACAGAATAAATCATTTTTTATCACTATCGCCGTAAGATCCAATTTAAACTACTGAAAATTAAAAATAGCGCTATTTATGGTAAGTGGTACATCGCCAATTAGTAAGAACGTGTCAAACCGCCTGAGTCTCAGAAACCCGAATTTTGGGACGAGTCGGAAAGAGTCGGGTGGGATCGAGCGGAATCCTGATACATTTCACTGCTCTAGATCTCAAGATCCCGAGTGTTTCGGGCCCCAAAAGTTTCGTGACTGCGCTCGGTTCTCGGGTGGTTCCGCTTATAGATTGTTCCATATCCTATTCATGCGTAAAAACCGAGACCGCACGAGACTACACGAAACTGCACGAGATCGCCCGAGAATCAAGCGCAGTCCCGAAACACTCGTGATCTCGACAATGAAATGAATCGGGATCCCGCCCAATTCCACTCGATTTCTACGTTCTATCTCGATCCTGTAACATCGAGTTCCCGCACACCCTGCCAATTAGTATATGGCAATACGCGCAAATTTGTAGCCAAATGTTACAGAGTAGATTGCACCAGCGATATTGGCACCTCTTGTGGTGGAATCTCAAAGCTCTGTTCAGGGGTCCGTGCCGATTAATCAGTGGCAAAACGCTCAAACTATTAGCCAAAATCTACTTAGTAGATTTCACATTTTGTCTTCTAACGAACGCTATATTTGCAATTATAAACAAACCCATTGTGCATGATACAGAAAAAAAACCTAAATATTTCTGCCCCCTCAGAAATGTTCCTTGTAAAATAAATACAAATGCAGTAAAATTCTACTGGATAATCAAATAATATCGGATAAGTAGACTAGACTCCTATTTTCTTTTTCATTATCATTTTTGCGAACGTAAGACGAGCTTTCTTTAAAGAACAATTATTAATTTTATGACATAGCTATTTACTTCACAATTTTGCTGTATTATTGCTGGGAACAATAGGTATTGAAACACTGTGACTCATATTCCAATCTCTGTTATTAATATTTATGAGGACTGGTAGGCGTACAAACTATAACCATGCGAACTGTTTAGAGAATCAAAGATGTTTGTGAGTTGGTACCGAATTTGAAAGTGACTGAAAAATCAGGAAAGTTGCAGTACAACAAGGAATAAACAACGTAAGACGCGGTAAATTTTTAAATGGCATTATCGCAACACTGCGATATTTGGTCGATAGGTGCGCTGAGATCTCTTTGTTGGATATATTTTAGGAGAACGTAGTTCGGTCTACTTGTGAGTTGCAAATGGTGGACGGCCTGTCATAGTTGGTTGCGTTAACATCAGGTACGTGAATTTGCATCGTTTCTGTATGATTCACTTTTTCATCATAATAACGAGAAACAATACTATTATGCTATGCCTAAGGCCAATCGTTAATCATTCACCAAAAAACCGAAAGCTTTTACGGTAGAAAATCGTTTTCCACAACCAAAATAGTCCTTCGGTTACGTAAAATTGTTGCACCAGACGAAAATAGTCACCTGACTCGACAAATTCGATTATCCTTTCCGTATTTTTTAAAGAATAAACGATAATCGAGAGCTTCTAACATTTTTCTACTTTCCTCTATAAATTCGTTGATAATGTATCCATGAAAGGATTTCGTCAGCCGACGTTTTATCTGATCGAGATTGGGAAAACAGATATTTTTATGTACCTGCACATACGTTGAATGCAATTGTGCAATCGCTATATAGATATTTACAACATAACTAATCCTAGCTATTTTTTCCTGTGGTTTGCGATAGCGATTCTTATTATATTTTATACGCAGTTTCGTGCAAGAATACGTAGATCTGTCTGTAAATCAATTGACATTTAATCACATTTTTATGAGACAAATGTCACATGGTCGCTGACATCATGTTGATGACAGTTTCCTATTTTTCGTTGTTATTCGATTATTTACGAAGCTAGGTCCTTCCTACCGGTCCTTCTCGACCGGTTTTCGTCATTATTTTGCAATAACGATATTCGGAAAAGCTAATATCGCGAATAAGTATTAAGTTTTATGTAGGAATTCCATGAACTTAAAAGAAGTCGGGGATCACCCGCGCAATTTTATGACGTTCCATCCGCAAAAGGTTATAGCCAATTAGGTCATTGTATTACCGCATCGCTGTATGTTATTACTCATTCCTTATTGTCTGTTATGTCCGATTAATGTTACATTATTACATTAATCAATATTTGTACTGTTAGACATAGATTTCAAACGTTTATGCAATTTTCTATTTTTATAAACAAGTTTCGAAAAATCTAATTACTGTAAAGTCTAATATCAACGTAAAAATGATGTAAAACTTAGTTATAACGAACTTTATTTTTTGTTGCATAATTAAATATGAGAAGTAAACATCTGCAGTCAAGACGTAATCAATAATTACATTATACTTTATGTACATTACGTAAACTATAGTTAATTATTGTTATCTTCTATTTGCAGCTACATTTATATTTATGTTTTCTTAATATGCTACG